CCCCCTCCCTTTTCCCCCTTTCCCCCGTGGGCTTGAAGAACTTGAAAATGTTTCAAGACGTCGCGACCGTTTTAAGACGGCGTAAAAATCACGAGGGAGCGTGGACACACCGCGACGCACATATGCTTCTGATACGCACGTTACTCACCTGTTCGATGGCCGTGATACGGGTGAGCTCATCCAGGAGACCGGCCAGCCCGTAGCCACTCTTCCCGGTCCAATCTAGCCCGTGTAACGCCGCCGCTACGCTCGCGGCTGCGATCATGCTCGGTGTGTACATCGAGAACTTGTACTCTGTAAAATAATTACACTAGTAAAGATATGCCCGCGTGAGACTTTATACTGCCTTTCCTACATAAATTTCATTTCTTTTTTCGCGTTCAGGATTCACGCTGATATCGCTTCGTTTATGATAGACCGAGAGCACGCAAAGTTATACACAAGACAATAATATATGGCATAATTGTAGAGCAAAATCAAGGAAAAAGTGCCCGTTGTATCTAAAAGAAAAAGGATAAAAGAAGTCGTGTTGATATTCGAATAATGTTTAACTATTTGTTAATACTTGAATGGCGAAGAAAACAGATGGTATCGATAATTGTCTTCTGCCAGAATTCATCGACTTTTTCGGTGCATACATCTTCTCTATAAGGATGATCTTTCACCAGGAACGTTTATCTCGCTTAAGTACACCCTTCGTTATTTACTCCAGTTATGGTTAGCAAACAACGAAGGGGAGAAAAACCACTTTCGTAGAGATTTCTCGGATAGTCCTCGAAATTACGCGACAGATTTATGATATAGGCGGGAACGTGGTGGCCCCTTTGTCCAGCGAGACGTTACTTTCGTTTCTTCAGGAAGAAAGTTCTAACGTTTCAATGCGCGCACAAACGATCCTCGACGGGTCCTCGACGAGGATACAGGATATTTAACATCTGCCTTTCTCTCAACCGCTTGTTTTAATGGTATCCTGTGATTTTCACAGCGGACAGTCGCAAAGCGGTGCGGTTCTTAACAATTCTGAAGTCCGAGAGAGATTCACACAATAGACATTGGTTTAATTATTGCTTCGCTCAAATTGTAATAAGAATTTAGTTCGAATAAAAAGGAATCTTTCGTCTTTCTGTTTCGTAATTTGTCGAGCATTTTAGATCCTCCGATATTAATATTATTTAGAATATAGAGACAGAAAAATTAATTAAACCGATCGGAATTCAAATTTAGAATTCTTCGTTTTCATCCCTAGCACTTAGGACGCTGCCCTACGACCGCTCCACTTACTCTCGTTAATATTTCGATTTCCTGTCAATACCTAATCGGACTTAAAGCGCTATATTTTTACCAGAGGATCAGAGTATTATTCTAAAACGCGAAATTTTAAAGCCATGTATGTGATGATGAAGATAAAGATTAAAAGTGTATAAACGTATTATGTATACCAATTAATCTTATATAACCACATTACATCACGTCAATATTACTCACTTGATATACATTTATGTGCAGAGCATGATGTATGTACATCACGTTCCTGTTCATGTTCACAAGAGTTGGTTAGATAAAATTATAATATTGCATAAATTATAGTAATGCCATTTTTACGCTCGCAAATTTTAATTAAAATAATTGGAAAAGAAAAGTTTGTCTAATAATGAGCTATTATATTATATATTGAGCTATTTGACCGCATGTGTGAAACCATGTTTATAATTATAACATAGTGCATTGTCCATCTTATCAGAAATTAACTACCGAAACTGTCATTTTGTTACCATTTTAGATCTTGACTAATGTGATTTTACCTTCTAAGTTTGAATATAATTCTAGACCTATTTTTAAAAAATAATTATATTAAAAGTAGCTAAGGGAACTCGAACTTGAAGGCGCTCAAGAAGGAAATTTATATCACATTTAAATGTAAAAAAAAAAAAAAAATACAAATGTTCGGTAAACTTACATAAAATAATGTAGATTTAGATAAACCCCTTCAGAAGAAGGCTACACAAGCTGTTTTAATAAAAATGCAAACGCGGCAGTTACCCGATGCGTCAATGCGTCCGTTCGCGTTACGCTTCGAGACAAGATCGTGGCTGATCGGCAATTAAATCGCCCGGGGGGAGAACGTCGCGGTTATTAACCGGTGAAATTAGGAGCGCGCACGGCGTGGCAGATACGTAAAACCAGTTTAATAAGGGAGTACGATGAGCAGCGCGGAGAGGTGTTGTATACGCGCGAAGGGGAGGCAGGGCGCGGAGATAGCTATGGAATGTGAACATCAGACGAAATTATCGCGTTGCACCAGTACTCGTGCGTACCGAAACTTAATCCCCGCGAGAGTGTTTAGCTTACATAATCAAAGCCGCACACACCTCGCGCGCGCCGCATCGTCACTTCCCGTCGCTCTTGACGATGCGACGCGACCGGCGGCGGCGTTATTCGCCGCCACCGTGTAAACAAATAATAATTCACGACTACGCGTCGCCGCCGCGCCGTATGTATGTACCGAGATTCGACGGGTAATCCCTCCGTACGAATCTCCTCTCCGTTTGACGCAATCGGTTCCCGCATAAATAAATTTCCTTCACGAGCTTGAGGTACAAATATCGCGCGCGCGACTCTTTGGAAAAGTTACATAGTTACATTTTTAATTCAGACGCAATCTATAATAGAATCGCTAAAAATGGAATGTTTCATATATTTCTACCGTGGTTTAGAGTCACAAGTCTTCTGATCAATGTGCTCTAATTTAATTCGCGCAACTCTGATGTATCCAGCATGCAACCTGTCGTCGAGGGGGTTCGTGCATTTTTTCGTCGACTATTCCCTTGGCTATCGATTTCGCGGAAAATTCGAGACGGCTTATCGTCTCGCTTCCTCTCGAAAAAGAAACGCGGAGCGCCGCCCGAGAGCGGCAGTTGCCTAGTTTGGTCCGTGAGAAACAATCCGCGACCTCGTCCTGCGTGTGCTTGTCCTCTCTCGCTCTTTCTCCCGCTCTCGCTCTGACTCGGGAGCCCCGCCGACCGTCCGCGGTCCAACACGAGCATTAGGAGCAACGACGAAGGACGAAGGTCCTCTTCGCGCGCCACCGCTTTTTTGCCATCGCGGTTGTAATAACAACCGGCCGACCGATGCGGACTCGCGGGATGAGGAATCGAGAAAGAGAGAGGAAGGCGCAAAGAAGAGAGGCGGAGGAGGAAGAACGAGGAGAGCGGAGGAGACACACGCGGGTTATGCCGATGTGTCTGCAGCCGTACCCAGACGCATCCAGACATTTAAACGCACCCGATCTCGATCTTTCTTATAGTCTCTCCCGCTATCAGTCTGTCTATCTCGTCGCGTACTCTACCCGACGACGGATTTTCTCTCTCTCTTTCTCTCTCGTCGCGAATCAAGGACAATAGGGCATGAGTCACAAAGGATCTATCTAAAACAATCTTTGAGAAATGAATTTTTGTGTTGAGGATCTACCAGAAAAGGCGCAGCAGTTCAATTTTCTGCTACGTCTCTTGTCCTTTTAAAAATAATAGAAAAATAACTTCGATTCATCATCTGAGCTCGTTTTTATCTTCATAAAAAGAAGATTTACTTATCAGATTATCGAATTATAAATTGTAAATCACAAATGGTAAGATTAGAATTATTCTACTCCTTCATAGAAATCTCTAAGTTGTTTCACAAATTGCTTTTTAAACAAATTCGGTTTAGCTAATCTGGATACGTTTTATTTAGATCTCAATTGCGAGTCGCCGCGATGCACGAGGACGACGTTGGTAAAAGCAGAAAACGACGAAAATGCAGTGAAATTCCAACGTCGGATTCCAGAGAAGGCTTCCAGTCTTTCACGCCTAACGTGACCGGGCATTTAAACACACATTTATACAGCCCCTAAGGCCTTCCTTATTATCTAATAGGCCGCAGGATATCGACAACTTTTCCACAAAAGCAACATTTTCCGCATTCCTTTTTGTGAGAATAGTCCACGTGGATTTAATTTTTTTTGGTTTAAAGAAGTTTCAAAGTGAAAGAAAAATAGAACAATTTCTTTGTTATTTATTACTATCGTTATTCGTTGCACATTTATCGGTTATTATAATAATATATAATATTTATATATTATTTTAATATATATAGTATATTATTATAAATTATTATAATGTATTTATATTTTTTTATTATCAATATTTATCAGTTATTAAAAAATATGTACACTACTTCTGCATCTAGTAGTAGTACCGTCTATATTTTACTGGAGAACCTCGTTCTACGACGCGACGATGACGGTAACAGTAGTAAAAAAATGATAACACGTCGTGTCGTCGTACGGAAAAAAAAATTATACTACTTATTTTTTATAGAGCGCGCGCGCAGGCCCTTCCTCTCCTCCTTCGGAGCTAATGGGCATGAGTAGACGGAAGGTGCAAATAACCGTAATAACGGATTATCCTCCTAAGCATCGCGCATTTCGAGCGCGTTATTGGCGACCTCGTCTATATGTATATATGCGTGACCTATTTAACGAAGAAAAAGCGAGAAAGAGAGGAAAGGCAAGGAAAAATGAAGCGATTCGTGTGACTGTTACGTGATGGTTTCCGCCATCGGTGCGCGCTCTATACGCGCCTTCGAGGCGCGTATGTTTCATTAATGCGCAGGTATGTTAACGACGCACGTCGCCGGTTGTTAACGCCACACGTACGGACACATTTACGATAGCGCGTAATGTGCGTACGAAGGCACTTCGTGAAGGCACTTCGTTCGTTGTCCTCCTTATTGTATACGCGGCAATCCTCCCGATATTCAGAAAATCGAAAGTTACTCCACGAGCTCGAGTAACGTGAACGAGGGAAGATTGGAAGAGTCGTGTTAGAATGCTCCCTCATCAATAAGAGCGAAACCGAGGGAAATTATTGCTTGTTGTCGCGACCTGTCATTAAATTCTACTCGATAGCTTATTAGTCTCTCATTCTTACCTCTGGCGCTGAGAGCGATGAAGGTCTGTGCGTGCCTCCGGACCATCACAGTGTCGCAGGTGTGCGGCATCGACAATCTGCTGAGGATGTGCATTAGGAAGTCACCGGGCGTCACCGCGGACAGTTCCCATTTCAGCTTGGAAACGACCAGCTGCTCCCACCTCTGTAACAAAGCGAGACAGATGTTCGATTAACACCTCGCGATTAACGCTATTACAAAAAGTGCGATTTTATTTATTAAAAAAAAAAGTAACATTTACCATAAATAGCAGTCTAATGTTACGAATTGTGATCAGCTTATTTTCTTCGTTATCGAAGAAACAAAATATTGCCAAATATTATTTCGGACTAAAATTATCTAACGTAAATATCGATGCAGTCTCGACTCTCGATTTAAAATTTAATCTGGGTATTTAATCTGGGATATACATAAATATAAAATATATATAATATATTATTATAAATTATTGTAATGTATTTATAATCGTATTTATATCACGTAACGGCATTATAATTACGTTCACTTGTGTCGTATCTCCCATGGTTTTTCATGTGTATGTTACAATATCAGATGTAACGCGTGTATTATTATAGTAATTCAGAGAAAGTCGTGCAAGAATTTGTCAAAGAACCGTTAGATTCTCCATTTTTTTTTAACGAAAAGAAGAGGGGCGATCCGTTTCATCGCGAACTAGTGGGAAACGCGTGATCCGAGTGCGTCCCTTTAAACGCGGGAGCATTTAAACCTTTAATCGTCGATAATTACGCACAGGTGCGACGACGACGACGACGACGTCGTCAAAATTTACGCGGCCTTGATCTCTGTTTCGAGCGTCGGAGAGAGAGAGAGAGAGAGAGAGAGAGAGAGAGAGAGAGAGAGAGAGAGGTCTATCCTTTCTCTAAGCGAGGTTACTACGTCCGCTCTCGGGAGTACGTCGTAGTACCCCCGTTCTCTTTCGACCGTGAAATTACACGGCGGGAGTAACGCGCGACGAGTACTACGTGTCCTTCGTCTTGATCAAAAGTCCATTGAATCCGGCGAGGCTCTGCTCGCCTCCCATCGCTCAGCTGTGACGAAACCGGGCAACGTGACTCCGTTTCAAGCACGAGGGAGCATATTGCGGACAGGATCTCGAACGATAAGACTCAGGAATATACTATAATAGATATTATATTCGTAATATATGCGCTATAGTAATTAATGTAGATGCGTATACATTATGCATTATCATCCATTTGTGCACTTCTATTTATGCTACGGCACTCGTTTAGGGAATCTACGTATTACACATTCTGTGTGAACTCATCTATCCTTTTAAATTAGAACCAAAAAAGAATTTTGGGCGTGATAACATTTTCCGACGTTGAAATTATTTTGTAAAATAATTAGAGAATGTAAACACATGTAAACGCAGCTTTGTTTAATGCTATCTAAAAATTTCGTTCTCTTTTTGCAATATTGTATGCGTAATACACATATCCTACATATTATTATATATCAGTCATTTAATTTTATGACCTGGAACTGTAGCTCTAACTGGAAACGGAAACTGTTAAATGTTCACATAATTTCGAAGGGCACGTGTTAATAATGTTATTCATGCTACGTAATGTTATAATGAATATTTCATATGGTTTTCGTGCAAGCCCACACTCTGGACAGTCTGATAATTCATGACAGAGAAATTCGGGACAGAATCCTAAGTATAATTTCATATGCCGCGTGTTTCTGATGTATGCGCGTATTTTGATATGTATCTTATATCTCGCGCGCGTGTGTGTGTGTGTTTGTGCTCCTTCAAACGATTTTATTTTACAAACAAATCACAGGTAGAATTAAGTCCTAATTTATAAATTGCGAATTATAGATTACATCAATTAAAGTTTTACAAAAATTGTAGCTCCATCTTGATAAAAGATGGCCAGATATTTCTTCAATTATATAACTATAAGTAGAAGATAAAAGTCAAGACGCGATTGTACAATAAAAAGATTATACAAAATGCAAATTCTCGTGTTAGAATCGCATTTGTGAGCGCGAGGGGAACAGAAGGAAGGTGGTCTGTCTGTCTCGTCGTCGTCGTCGTAGTAATCGCGTACGAGCCAAATTAAAGTCCCCGCCAAATGGAAGAGGATGTGCGCTCGAGGGAAGACACAAACCGAGGGAGCACGTCCTCTCTCGCTCTCTCCTTCTCCTCTCCACGACTCATTCTCATCCTTGAAGGGGTTCCGCGCTCGAGTGCGTGCGTGCGTACGCTCGCCATTCGCGCGCCGGCTCTTCTCTCGTACGCCGGTCGTCGGTGAATGAAACAAAGGCTCGTACACACCGAAAAGGATAGGAGACCCGACGACGTAATGACAGCGGCGATGTGTAAAGCGCCTGTACTCTGCTAGGCAGAACGGGCTCGTCATATTGTGTCCTACTTTCGTTCCTTTGCTGCAATTTTTCCCTTTGACGAAGCAGCTTATTTAATTTTAATAGCGCCATTGTCTGTTACGCAGGTAAATCACGTGACTCTATTATTCTCTCATATGATTATTTTTATTACGTTCCGTCATGCTACTCTCTCCCTTGGCTTCGGAATTAATATCTACATACATTCGGCCCGTTGTTACATATAATTTCGTATTAGCCACATATATTTAAAAAATTACGATCGCCGTGAGCCACACATCTCATAAAGTTATTGTTATTATTTTGACATTTCTCCTCGGTACTTTAAAATTTGACGCAGTTGCACGCGTCACATCTACAAAGTCAATAATCAATAATTCATAGGATATACAATTTGTATAAATATTTATGATACGGTTATGACGCGTTGTTTGATCTGCTTGGCAGATATTATACATGTAAAACGCTCCGCGCGACGATGCGCATCCCGCCGTCGCTCCGTCACCGAGCTCTCTCTCTCTCTCTCTCGTCAGAGTGCACTCACGGCGCGTGCACGCACGCACGCAAGCACGCACGCACGCACGCTACGATATGCGCGCATATATGTAACGTAACGACACGTAATGATTCACGAAGGGGGATAATTGCCGAACGCGATCAGCGACGATAAGCGTGCCCGGTGTCGCGCGTCACTTTCTGATAATAAAGTAGGCGCTCGACGCGTTCACCCTCCGCCGCGCGATGCACCACCTAATTTCCACATTACGTTAAGGTGCATTATTACATTGCATTACATTACATTACGCAACACGCGTTGCAGAGGAGTCTCAGGCAGCGCCGCAACGACATCTCGATCTCTGGTCAGTCTATCAATTATCGTTAACCGCGGCTTTCCTTGTCTCTGACAGAAGCGAATCATTATAAGAATTCACGAATCACCGGATTAACATTCGTACCCCGAAGCCGCTGGAGTTTCGTAGAACCGGATTCATCATCCACGGCGATCGATTGATAATCTATATTCGCATTCGTAGCTTTGGGATTTCCGTTCCCTCTAATATTAGTGTGCATTATAAATCGATACTCAGTCTCCAATGACACCGGATCAAGATCCGAAAAAAAAAAGAAAGAGAGAGGTACAGGATGGAGGGTAAAAAGGTGGTGTCGAAGCATGCCATGGGAAAGCAGGTGCCAGCTAGATGACGCTTTCACTTTCCCTTCCGACCTTTGGGAATTCAAATGACCCAAATGTTATATCTTACGATGTACAGCCCTCCATATAGGGTGTAATTTATATATCATTTGTAATCTGAAACTAACTTCTAATCCTGAACGGAATCAATTATCAATTACGCATGCAATTCTATACAGATATTCATAATCTCAACCCACCGTCTCGCACGTATAAGACTGCGGTAGCGTAATTTTTTCAATTACAATTTGCGCGACTCTTATCGTTTTGGATTTTATTTCAGGATCTCAGATATTATTATTTTTAATTTCATCTCTGAATCTCAGATATTATATACACATATATAAATTCTTTTGTACTAATATCCATTCTTCTCATGCTAATGTGATAATTTCTAGAGCTCGTATTACAAGTTTTTTCTACAACATCTACACAATATATTTAATTTTGCAAAATTGTAAAAAATAATTTATTAATTTCGTAATATATTAATTAGCAATTAAATCAGTTAGATTACTTATAAAAATTGCTACTTGTATGCTATTAAATTAACACTGCCACATCGTTTTTTTTTACCCTTCAATTTGCATGTATAAAAAGGCAAAACAGCCTGCTAGTTGCAGAGTTGCTAGTTTTTTTGTATAACGCGAGCTGTTTAATTATCTATAATAATATTTTCCGGATAGTTAATTTCCTAATTAATATATTAGATAAAATTATGGATATTTAAAATTATGATACATATTATACACACTTGTGTAATTATATTGGATATCTTGCGTTATCGTGAAAGTATAAAAAAAATCTTCACGCTGCTCACGTTTGCATTTCCGGTCTGGAATTTACGATCGTTCTCGATTCACGTTCGGCGTATCGGCGCGGCTAGGTCAATAACTATCGCTCGATAGGCGGGGGAAAACGCGGCGCATTTATGCGTCTCATTCATGCGTGCGCGCGCGTTTGTGCGATCGTGTTCGCACGGTTTTGAATCGCGCACCTCAGCGTCCCGCTTTCCTGAGCGTGAGAAAGATAATCCCGACGCACATGTGACTCGCTCCTTCTTTTTTTTTAATGCTCGATGCGCGCCGAATATCGTGACACGGGAAAACGAGAGATAGTACGACGCGATAGCGGCACACGGGGCGAGAACACGTAATTATGATCATTAATCGTAATTACCGCGTATCCACGTGGTTCCGCCGACGTGGTGCGTCCTCTCGTATTTTTTTCCCTCTTTCTTCATCTGGCTCGCAGGGCGTCCAGATGATGCCGGTTTCGGCTTGTGGGTGGTGAAATCGTCGACAGGTGGTCGGCGAACGAAGGAATTGAGAAAGGAGTATAGCGGGAGGGATGCGGGAAAATCATTTTGTGAAGACAGAATGACGCTTCTCGACTCTTCTCTTGCGCAGTTCGAATTAGACCGAATGTACATTTTTGCATTTGAGTTACAATTATTCACGGATTTCGATTCATCCATCCTATCGGAAGATTAATAAAGAAAAAAAAGAAACGAGAGTTGGCCGAGCTCTGACCGAGGTACGTCTAGACGAACAGCGGCACGAGAACAATGGAGCAT